CTGCTATGCTTGATCTATCTTGGCCGCCTTGTGCTTCTGGCCGACCTGGTATGCTGGGAGTGAGGTTCCTTCTTTTTTTGGCTCGGACGGTTTTGGTCCGCGTGCAGTAGGCTTAACGGCCAACTAATTACATTCCTTAGCCATTTTCTGACTTCCTTGGATCGTTCCAATTGTGTCGTCCGTCCTCTTGAACTTTAGCAGCATTAGATGAGGTACAATAACTGCCTTAGCTGCATTCAGCGTTGGACGGCCGAGTATGACGTTATATCTAGTCAGTTCTTTTACCACCAGGAAGCGGATAACCATATCTCTTCCTTCCCCCTTTTGCCCAAAGCGGACGGGTAGGTATTTTCGCCCAACTGGGTGGATAACATTCCCCCCCAAATCTTACCAAAGGGTGAGTGATGTCTTGAAGAGCATCCTCTGGGAAGCTTAGATTCTTCAGGGCGGCCAAGCTGATGATGTCAGCCGAGCTGCCCGTATCAATCAATATTCGTCCGACCTTCAAGTTTGCTATTTTCATAATGAATACCATATAGGATCGTTGTGTAGGGCTTAGACCTCCCCCGGTCAGCCTCACTGATGGTTACTTTAGGAAAGGTTTTGGCCTTTACGGCATCCGTTTGCATTACCTTTCCCAAATTCCAGGCGTCTTGATTGATCCATTTCTTGGTTGGGCCGCTTGAGGCGAAACCTCCTAATATCACGACCACAAAGCCTGAATCAGTGCTATTCCCATCATCTTCCTTGTTTATGTTCTTATCATTTTTTTGTTTCTTTTCGGACATGTTGTCTGTCCGTGCGTAGGTGAACTTGGACTTCATCACATAAGAGTTCAGCATGCCCTTCTCGGCTAGCTTGTCCAACAATCTCTTCAAATTGATGCAATCGTTCGTGTCATGTCCCACATCCTTGTGGTAATGATAGTACTTGATCTTGTTCCTATACTGAGTCGGGCCTCTCAGCGGCTGGGGCTTTTCAAACTCAAACTTGTCTTTGATTTCCATCAGGATGGAGTAACAATCCTTCTTGAACTCATAATGGGGCTCGTACGTCTTGACCTTCTTGGATTTCTGCTGCTGGCCGTCGGCCACCCAGACTTCTTTTCTTTTGTTTCTTTCCTTCTTTCGGCCAGCCGAGTCTTGTTGAGAGGGGTGCTTCTCAGCCCCCTTGGTCGGCGCTTCTGATTTTGTGAGCGAACAAAAATCCACCGCCTTAGTGTAGGCTTCAGCTTTCCGCAAAACACCTGCGTATGACCGAATCTTTTTTCTTACCAAATCAAACTTAAAACTGTTTTGGGTGTTTTTGTCCCTTAGGAGAGTTACAACACGAAGACTGATCCGCTGTGAGCTGCACCTGCAAAACAGAGACACCGGTTGGGTGGTGCTCCGCCTCCGACGCACAAGTTAGTAAATTGAAACGGAATAGAGAGAACGGAAATCTAGGTGGGTATCTGCTCGGATTCCAAGCTCAGGTCTTTCTGTGATGTAAGAGAATAAGTGTGTAATAAATGATTCAATCTGTCCCCAAAATGGGGAAATATCTCCCTGTTTATAGGGTCTTTGGGAAAAGTGCCCCTACCTAGGTCACTTGATCTAGATTTTAGTGGGCTGCGCCGCTTTACGACGCTCCTACGAGTTTGGGCCTTTGAAAGCCGCCATTTCAGAAACATATCTGAGGGCGCCAAGTGTCAAGAGGACGTTGAGCCACATGGGCCATCCTGAGCTCGACACGTGGCAACCTCTCATTGGTCCACGTGTCAAGAGGATGTTTGGCCACATGAGCCATTCTGAGCTAGACACGTGGCGAACTCTCATTGGTCCACGTGTCTTGGGTAAAAATACCCTAAACAAAAACCATTATGCCTTAATCTCCTGAGAAATTCAGAGTATGCCATGTTGTCCGGAAGATTATGAATTTGGGCCTTTTCTTGGTTAAATCTTTGGACGTACGAGCGTAATCCTTCATTTTTTCATTGCACAATTGTTGCCAAGTTGAGACTTGTTTTTCTTGGTGGAATGTTGTAAGAGAAATTCCCTACAAACAACAAACTGAGGGTGGTAAAACAATTAATGCACCCGGCCAGAAGGCTATTGAACCAATCCTGCGCCACTCCTTTTAAGGTGGTCGGGAATCATTTGCACCATGTAGCATCATCTACACTTTGCAAGTACATCAAATTCCTGTACGAAGTGATATGCTCCTCGGGGTTGCCCGTACCATCATAGGCACCCACGAGTACGCCCTTGACTTTTGCTGGTTCAGGTGATGTTAAGATATCTTGTGAAAACGGAGGCGGCTTATCTCCAAGGGTCATTAGGCGCATCTGCCAGTCAATTGGTTGTGGCTGCGCGGACGGTCCAGCCAGGTAGGGAGCCTGACAGTACGTCTGTCCGTATGGCCTATATTGTCCGAAGACTTGGCGACTCGGCTGCATCAAGCCATTGAAACCCTAGGGAGGTTGATATTGAAGTGATTGAACTGGAATAGGAGTTGGAGTGCGGACAACTTGACTTCTGCTAGAGATGGCCGTGTTGGTATGTTGGGAGTAAGAATGATTTGAGAAATCATCCGGCATTGTTGGAGTTGAGGTCGTGTCCGAGTAAGCGGCACGTTCCCGCTGCTTATGCCGAAGCTAATCCCTTGCATCCTTCCACCGTCTAGACGACTCAGGCTCTTCTCTTCGAGGCTGCCTACTCCTCCCCCCATCCGACTGGGTTTTTGCCAATAGATCAGAGAAATTTGTCCGTGGTACCCTTGGGGACCTTCTAGTCGGCCTACGAAATGGGGTTTTCCCAGCGTCTGTTGCATTATTCGCTTTGTTTTGAGCTTTCTTTGGAGATCTCTCCCCCTCCCTCCTGGGAGGCTGCCTAGAGGTAGAGGCTTTGTTGCTCTCAAACTCCTTCCGGAGTTTGTTGAGCGCGACCTTCTAAGAGGTTGCAGTAACAGGAGGGTCATCGGCCTCTTGAAATGAGGCGGTTAGCGGATCGCTGGTAAGGATTGTAGGGATTATATCCACTACATGGTCGTCCTCGCCTGGACGAGGGCCGGGATTAGGTGTCTGACCATCTATTGTCATAACAGACGAGTATCCCCACAGACGGCGCCAAATGTTTCGGGTATTTTTTGATCTCCTCAGATACTGGTATCACTCTTCAGGCAATGAGACACGGACACCTGCAAAACAACGAATATTCCTTTACCGGAATAGTTGCCTCCAACGATCAAGTTAGAGATCGGGAAACGGAAAGTTTAGAGAGAGAAAGTAGAGAGAAATTGGAGCTCTTTAATGCTCTTTTTTAGGTTATGTCAGCATCCATCCCTCCCATCATAAATGATTAGGGTATTTATAGGGGTGGGAGTGTGTGCCCCTTTAGGGTTTGTACCTTAAAATTCCGTGACATGATTGGCAATGCAATCAGAGAATGCCACGTGTCGTATGGAGGCGCCGCTTTGCGGCTTTCAATGACTTTCCTCGGGATTTGGACCCTGATGTAATAAGGGCCCTTTCTCTTGCTGATTTCAGGTGCTCTTTAGGGCATTTGACACGCGTCATCTTCCTGTAAGGACACGTGTCTCCCTTTGACTGGGCTACGTGTCACTACGGGATTGAACCACTTTTTTGGGATTATTTTTACCCTAGACACTTGCAACAGTACCTCCTCCCCACCTTTGGCCAAATTTCAGTTAAGGCTAGATCAATACCCTATAAAGACGAAACAACCAATGTTATTAGCATCATAATCACAAAAGTTTACGATAATTTAATTAATGTAGGACCGTTAATGTAAAGGTAACTTCAACAATTGTTATGGTAACTAAAATTTCTTTATGGGTAACTTTTAATTTGTACTCCCTCCGTATTTTATTAGTTGCTCAATTTCTCATGGAGTTTTAAGAGGAATAATTAACACTATGTTTGTTTAAGGTAAAAATTACCCCAAATATGTGGACCAATACCATAGTGACACGTGGGCCAAACATAGGGCGACACGTGTCCCTATAGGAATATGACATGTATGCAAACCCTACGAAGAGCACCTGAAAAAGAGAGAAAAGAGTCTCCTTATATCAGGAGGCCCAAATCCTGAGAAAGTCGTAAAACGGCGCCCTTATCAGGATACGTGTCCTAACCTGATTGCGCCGCCAATCAGAGCACGTCATTCTAGGTTAACAACCCTAAAAGGGCACAATTCTCCACCCTTTTAAATACCCCAATCATTTATGGTGGGAGGGGTGGATTGTGACAATAACATTCAATAGAGTATTAAAATAGCTCCAACTTCTCTCTACTTTCTCTCTATTGCCTTTTCGTTTTTCGATCCGATTACTAACTTGATTGTCGCAGGCGTATATTCTGGCAACGGAATCTTCGTTCTTTGCAGGTGGCTGGTCTGTCGATCCAGAGAGCGACTAGTATCCCAGGGGTAATCACAAAAATACCCGAAAAAACGTTCAATCAAATTATGGTAATCTTATAGTTTTATATACGTTTATTTATTGTTGAAAATCACTATTTTTATAATTTAAAATTTTCATAATTGGAAAGTACATATTTGTATAAATGTAATCTAATAAAATCTCATTTTATCAAATTGGTGAATAATTCTAGTCAAACTTTTATCAAATTAAAAATCTGATCAAATCAAATTATAAAACTTAAACCAGGTGGAACATAGCCTATTTGCTACTTTTGGCATTGGAACAGATTGAAAGCCAGTATAAATTCAAGTACACGATGAGTACTAATTATGTATATAATCAACCAAGCACTTTAAAATCATGGAATTATGGAAATTAATCCAATTTAGTAGAGTAACCAAATGGGCTCTAATTGCTTTGGATGATACATCGCTAGAGATTATCATCGGAGTATACAAACCATTGGGTCAGTCTTGCAAGTCTTGATCGATAAGGATGACTTTTGTTATAAACTTGAAACACTTTTGTTATAACTTTTTTTTTTTTTTTTTTTTTTTTTCTTTTTTGAAAGAACTCTTGTCGTAGCTTATTTTAATTTTGTAAGCATAAAGTATAACTTTTTTTTTGAACGGCCTTCCTTTTCAACATCAAGTACAAACCTTTTGGTTATTGGACTATATTCAAGAAGAAGAACGAGATTTGGCTAACGTTTGGATTGATACCTTGTGAGAATAGGATTTTCACAATGCTAATTTTGAACAAAAAATATTGACTTTTATTTTATCTAACATGATAAACTTGTATTCCATAATTCCATTTTCTAATATATAGTTTATTCACCATACTACTAGGTAACACTATATAACTTCACACATTATCCTGATTAACAAAAGTAACTAACCCAAAAAAAAACCCAAAACCAGACTTCTTACAAAAGACTTGCATTATAAATTACTACAAACTTATTCAGTATTTCTTTCTATCTTGATGCTCCAGCTTCTTCTCCTTGACTTCAGTTTGCTGCCCTGTTGCTGGCCCGGCTCCGGCAACAAGATTGGTAGTGTGCTGTGCAATCTCAACTATAGTTTCGCCTATTGCACCGAGCACTTCTTCACCTTTCTCTGTAATTATCTCGCCTCCTTCTCCCACTTTAGATGCTCCGTCCTTGACCGTCTCCTTGGCTTCCTAGAACATTTCTGTGACTCCGCTACCAGGTGAAGATCCCATCACTCCTCTTCCTATGCCCTTCACCTTCTCTGCGCCTTTTTGGATCATACTGGTAACTCCTCCACCTCCGGTAGCTCCTCCACTTCTGGTAACTCCCTCGGTTTCCTGGTACATTTCGGTGCCTCCACCACGAGGTGTAGATCCCATCGCTCCTCTTCCCATGTCCTTCACCTTCTCTGTTCCTTTTTGGATCATACCGGTTACTCCTTCACCAGACGAAGGTTGATTCTCTCCCTGCATATAAGATTTTGTGATGTATATTAATACAAGTAATTTATATAGCAATAATCAAACTAGTACATTAGTAAGACAAGTACCGCATCAAAGTATATATGCTTCTCTTCTTTGTATATTTTGGCCTCAGTCTTCTTCCTAGCAGTGTAGTCCGCGAGTTTTTCACCAGTGCCCACAGCCATATCTTTTGCCATAACTACTGGCTTCTCAGCCAATTCAGTCGCCTTATGTGCAGCACTTGCTACCACGTCCTTCGCTTTCCCAACCACCCCGCCTGCCATCTTCGTAGCCTCTACTGCAGCCTCTGTAGTGTAATGTGCAGCTCCCCACCCAGCAACTACAGCCTGATCCTTCACCTCTTCGGCTACCTTCCCTGCATAACCAGCAGCAGTTTTACCAGTTTGCAATGCAACATCCTTTGCAGCCACCGCCTTTTCTCCCACGTAACCAGCAACAGTTTTCGTGGTTCCAACTGTGGTATCTTTGGCTTGTACAGCCTTTTCCCCTGTGTATTCCATGGACTTTTGGCCTGCAGTCATGGCTGCATCTTTAGCTTGTACCGCCTTTTCTCCAGTGTATTCCATGGTCTTTTGGCCAGCAGTCATGGCTGCATCTTTAGCTTGTGCCGCCTTTTCCCCAGTGTATTCCATGGACTTTTGGCCTGCAGCTATTGCTGCATCTTTAGCTTGTCTTGCTTTCTCTGCAGCTGTCTGAACCACTGGACGAGTGCTCTCTGATACGTATTGGGTTGTTACCCCAACTCCTGCACGGGCTTTTTCTTGAGCCTTGGATCCTAATTCAGCCGTTTTTGTCGCAGCTGCCCCTAATCCATGTTTTGCTGCTTCTTTGGCTTCCCAAGCTGCATTTGCTGCATCTTCCTTTGCTTTCCCATACCTTTTTTAGCATTATAAAAACTAACATGTCAAACCATTAATGCATCTTGTAGTAAACATACTATGAGACATGCTACAATGTTGTACTTATCTTATGTTTCGATGGAGTTTGTAACTTCCTTAGCTATGTACAACTAAGTTATCAGTAGTTTAGTACCTTATGCACTCAATAAAAGTCAGACAGCTTCAAATATTACAAAATTTAAGAACTGTATTCTAATATTCTGAAGTCAAGCTAATATGTTAGACTATACATACCAATCCTCTAAAAATTATTTGTTTTCTGATAACATGTTTATAACATGTTCGACCACAAATAGTTGTAATGTAGTACAATTTCTGTGGTTAGAAACACTAATATATTAATAATGCAATGTTAAAGGGTACAACATTAACATAATTAACATAAAGTCATTTATCATACACAGTCCGTACTTCTTTATCTACTTAATAGAAAACAAACATTATACTAGATATAGCGTGGCCAATGTGTGCAGATATTCAAATTAATTAATTTCTAAACATTAGAATTGAATCAATAACAAAATATTTCCTACAACTACATGATCCAAATTCAGCAGTTCAAAAAAATTGATAATACATGTAAATGTATGAGAATAATACCTTTCTTGAGCTGCTTGAACAGCATCAATAGAGTTCTGTTGAGCAGTCTGCCTATGTTTGGAAATCTCTTCCAAAGACTCTGTCTCTTGCTTCAGTTTTTCATCATACTTTCTTCCTGTCACAGCTTTTTCTTGCACTCCTCTTCCCCTTTCCATTCCCATATCTTCTTTCATCTCAAACTTCCCCACCGAAGTCGGCCCTTTCGCCGATCCATGGCTCGTATCCCTTCCCGCCGCTACACCATGACTCGTTTCCCTTCCCCCCGCCTGCCATCCCACACCATGGCTCGTATCCCTTCCTCCCGCCTGCTTCGACACACTGTGGCTCGTATCCCTCCCCACCGCCTGCTTCGACACACCATGGCTCGTATCCCTGCGAGCCTGCTCCTGATTAGATGATCCTCTCTGCTGCTGAACACCACTTCCAAACTCTAGTCCACCAACTCTATTAGTAAGCGACTCAAACTCAGTACTCTCAATGTCTCTCATCTGCTGCTGACGAGACTGTGTCAGCCCACCTCCACCGCCTCCGGTTTGAGCCTGGCCCATACCAATGTGAGTAGTCCCACTCTCTCTCATGTGCTGCTGCGGCTGAGTATAACCTCCACCTCCTCCTCCGCCACCGGCATGGCCAACACCAATGACAACCGTAGTACTCCCTCCTTTACCAGCACTCCTTCTTTCCGCTTCCACAGTCGCAGCTGCCGCGACTGCGGAGTCAGTAGCCTTATGAGCTAGCTCCTCAAACTGAGTAGCTCGTTTAGGCACAAGGTTTTGCTCAACTTGTAACTTTCTCTCTTGTGTTGTGTTATCTCTTCTCTGCTGCTGTTGTGAAGCCATTGTTGTTTTTCAGTGTTACTTCTTTTGCACTTTTAATATAAACTGTCTTTAATTTTTATTTTGTGTATTGAATTTTGTTCTAGAGATCACAAAATCAAAAGGGTCTTAAAATGTACATATATAAGAGGTAGACTTAGAACTAAAATATAAATTAATTAATGACATTGTTCGGTTGATATATGGTTGGTCGGTTTAAGAGGATGAACATGAAGAGTGGTAAGATGACATGTGGTGAAAAAGGAGGAATGTGAAGAGGTGACTAAGCAGGATAGAATGGTAAACATGTGTCACAAAGAGTGTTTGGATCAAGTTAAGAAAGAGGTGTGGCAAAGTTTACTTAGAGAAGTAGATATGGTGGTGTGTTTTTAATGCCACGAGTGCGTTTATGCGGTGCATGATGGTGTAACACATGTCGTTCGTATTTCTTAGTGGATGGTTAAAGAATTGAAGAGAAGGTTTTCGTTATATTATGATCCAAATTGGGTGAGGACTGGAGGGATGGTTAGTCCCTCCATCTCCTCTAGCTGTGACTTGAGCCTTTCTCTTGTAATAGACAGAGGACCCTTCATATCTTCTTGTGTAGTTTAAGAGTTGTTTATTTTACTTCTTTTATTGCATAACTAGTTTAAGATCCTTACCATGTACAATAAATCTAATTTTTTAAGAAAATTAATTATATCCAACAAATAAAATTTGTTAAAACAAACAAATCATATACTTCATCCGTTCTTTTATTATTGCACCACTTGCCTTTTTAGGAATTTTCACAAATATTGCACCATTTCCTCTTTGGAAAAAAAATTATTTGTGTTCACATTACAAATACCCAACATACCCTTGCCTTTTCACACTTACTTTTTAGTTTATCATTATGTCACATGGGTAATTTGTATTTTCACCTTTCTCTCTCTTATTTTTTCCACTACCAAAATATTTGTACCCAACCCTATAATGCAATAACAAAAAAACGGAGGAAGTATATAGGAATTATAATGTCATAATATATATAAATAGGCAAAGCAACAAATTATCTAAAAAATGAATTTTTTTAGTCTACCCGAACTTGAGAATTTTCAGACAGGGCTTGATCAAGTCTAGTGGTCATATTAGTGAATACTTATTTATAAATGCAATTTTAATAAACATTAAAATTAATCAAACACAAACTAAAATCTCCACTAAAATTATTAGCAAAAATGCCAACATATACAAAATTACAAATAATATATCACCTTTATATTTAAAAAAAATCATTTGTTAAACACAATATTTATTCTATAGCAAGATATTAGTTTGTGATAATATGTACGTATAGTAGTAAAATTTCATAAACAATATTGTAATTAACTTGAATATATAGTTATATCGAATTGAAATAAAATATTAGCTAGAGGTATTTAAGAAAATAAAAATTTAATTGATGTTTTAAAGTAATTTCTTTAACATCTATTATATAAATCAATTTATTATAATTTTTTTGGCAAAATATAATAATACTTCATTTAAAATATAGTTAAAAGGAGTTGAATTTTTTTTTTTTAAAAGAAGTTGAAATTTATATACTCCCTCCGCTTCATGTTACTTGCAACAAAGGACATGTTTGTAGAGACCGAGGTAAAAGATTGAAAGTAGATTAATTAAGGTGAGGGGTATAGTATTAGGAGAGATAAATTGGTGGGAAAAGTAGTGGTCCCATATTTAGCTTTACCACCCATGTGGGAGGAATCTTTTTTACTGGGAAATATCCCACCGTAACTATGCTTCCCACGAAAGGGAATGTGAGTTTTTGGAGGGTAAATTTTTCCCTCCCTTATTTTTACATGTAATTTCAAAAAATTTTCCAAATTCACAAAAATTCAAAAGTTTTCATAATTTCTAGTCAAAATGACTCCTTTATAGGGTCTCCCCTTGAAATGAACCCATTTTTTTTGTTCATTTTCAAACACAATACCTGGGTGGGGGGGGGGGGAATTCAAAGAGTATCCAAAAAAAACCAACACAATATTTCTTCAAAAGATACAAGCAGCCCTAGTAAATTACATTTCCCTACAATTAGTTGTTAATAATCCTAATTTCTAAGTGCTCTGTTAGAACCAGCAGCTCCATTGAAGACCGCAAAAAAAAAACCTACAGCCGCCATTTCACTACCTTCACCTGCTCTGCAAAAAAAAAAAAAAAAAAAAAAAAAAAAGGGACTCATGGAATTCTTTGAATCTGATTTTTTTGGAATGCATCGACTGTATGAAGAGGAACAACAACATTTGGATTATTACAGCATGGGACTTCATGATGAAACATACCATGATGAATCAGACATAGCAAACCAGCAAGTACAAAATGAAAATTCAGATATTGGTTATGATGCAGATGATGATGATGCACAAACAGATGATGGTGATACAGGGGAAGAACAAAAGGATGGGACTCCACAAGAACAACAAGGTCATAGAAGGGACAACAGAGAAATGTCACTAGATGAAAAGAGGCAACTTGTTGATGAAATCTTGGTGAACATGGAGGGGGAGTCACTGCCTTTTGGATTTTTATCCAAGTTGACCAAGAAACACAAAGTTCAGAGAACCACAACAACAAGATGGTTCTAGGTAATTAAGAAACACTTAGGGGAGGGGATTGTTATTGATGTTAGGACCAAAAAACTTGGCAAAACAGGCCCCAAACCCAAAGTCCATTCAGATGAGTGGTTGGTCTTTGTCCCATTGTATAAAAGGTCAACTGAAAGGAGCTATGTTGCTGCCCTTCATGTGTCTTCCTCAGTTTTTATAGGTTAAAATAAAGGTAGGCTTAGAACACACACTTCAACCAATCACGCTGCCCTAACAGACAATCACAAAATTTCTAGATTGAAGTGGGTTCTAAGCTTTGTGAACCCTATTCCAGCTATAGGGGACCCTACATTTAGAGACATGCAGTACACAATGCACATAGATGAGAAATGGTTCTACTTGAACCTAGAAACCAGAACCTTTTATCTTCTACCAAATGAACAAGATCCATACAGAGCACAACAATCTAAGAGATTTAAACTTAAGGCTATGTTCATGGGTATGGTAGGGAAACCACTATATGATAACAACAAGAACCTTTTGCATGATGGGAAGTATGGGTTGTTCCCTTTTGTCAAGTATAAATTAGCAAAGAAAAAAAGCAAGAATAGAGACAAGGGAACACTAGAAACAAAGGCAGTCCAGTGTGTTAACAAGGATACTATAAGGGACATGCTCCTCAATCATGTTATTCCAACTATACATGAGAAATGCCCCCCCCAATTACCAAAGGATATCATCATTTAATGGGACAATGCTAGGCCTCATCAAGTACCTAAAGATGCAGAATTTAAAGCAGCATGTGAAGCATATGGGTTCAATATCCAGTTTGTGTATCAACCAACACAAATTCTAGACTTAAATGTGTTAGATTTAGACTTGTTTAAGGTGATACAGTCAATTCAATATCAATCATTCCCTACAAACATTGATGAATTACTTCAAAAAGTGAAAGAAGCATGGGAGGAATTTGATCCAACAGTGAACAAGTATACATGGATTACCCTACAGTCTGTCATGCTTGAAATTCTAGCAAGGAAGGGTAACAACAAATTCTCCCCCCCCCCAATCATGAAAAAAAGACACTTGGACAGGCTAGGCCTACTTCCAGACTTGCTACAGGTAGACAAGGAGCTTTTAAACATAGTGGTATAATATTTGGACACAATAGAAGTGGAAACAACAAATAGCAACCATCATGAAGAAGACAACATGGAGGTGGATACAGACTAGGCAAACTTGGAACAATGAAGATGCTTTTGGGACTTTTAGACTGCCACATATAACCATAGTACCCTAAACTCTGTTTTTTGTTTTATTTTAAGTGTTGGTTATGTGTATTTTGGTAAATAATTAGTCCTTCAATCATGTATTAGGACTCAAAAGACTATTGTCCTAACTTTTGTAAGTAAAACAATTTTTTGAATGAATGAAAAAATTAAAGTAGTCCATCAGACATGGTTATTTGTCACTCAAAGCAATCTTGACAGTGGGTAACTCAACAATAACTTCAAAAAGAAGTCACTAGAGCATCCACAATGAACAATGAGCTATTAGTTGAGTCCCTTCATCATTTCAAGGTAAGTGTAAGTGATGCATTACATGTTTTTGGACTCAATGCATCTAAGGGGCCTATTTGTGGACTCATATGCCAATACACATACATACACATATCAGGCAACAACAAGAACACCCACTCAGTTCAACAGTCCCCAGGTAGCCCATATAGACAACAATCCACCCTAAATCAGTCCAGCTAATTAAGGTAAGAACCAACACAACCAACTAAGGTAAGAACCAATACAGCCAACTAAGGTAAGAACTAACACAGCCAACAAAGGCAACAAAGGTAAGAACCAACATAACCAACACAGCCAAGTAAAGTATTAACCAATAAAGCCAACACAACCAACTAAGGTGAGACTATCCAGACTCAGATCCGGTGTCTGGAACCCCAGCATCAGGTACAACGACAACAGAAACATCATCTCCGGCAGGTTTTTCAACAAGAAGAGCGACGACGATAGGTTGTGGGTCCAAATCTTCAATGGCGTAAGGTGAAGCGGGCCTTTTAGATCCAGAAGCAGCCACTAGTTTCTCCTCCTCGTCGCTGGAGAACTCAGCCAATTTAGCACCGATGATCCTCCTATGCGCAATTATGGAAGCGCGGGTGGTTTCATCACACTAGTACCCCGACGGGGGATGTAGGTCGTAGCAAAAGAAGGACGAGGATTCGACCTTTTAGTAGCAGCAGAAAGGGACTCGTACTTCATCATCTAAGGAAGCCATTTTTAGTGAGAGGCTGATACAGAGAGAGAAGAATACGAAGAAATGAGGAGAGAGAAAGGAGAAAACTTAGTAGAAGGAGAGAGAGAGAGAGAGAGAGCGTTGGGAGAGAGAAAGAGAGATAGAGAGATTAGGGGTATATGAAGAACTAGGGTTGAGTGTGAGTTCTGGAAGTTTCTAACCCATAATTTAATTCATCCAACCACATTCATCTTAAATTGAATGCTGATTCATTGAATGAAGGTAGTTGGGAAATTGTAATTTT